AGAGGAGGGCAGAGGGCGGTCCGGGGGAGGGGTGGGTGCGGTGGGGGCGAACCCCGGGCGTGAAGAGGAGAGGACTCTCCCGGATTCCGGGACGGGCATCCCAAAGCCGCCTCCGCCGACCCCGCCCCAAAGCCACGCACGTCTGTTCCGGGCCGGATCACCCCTCTCCAAACCGCGCGGCACTGCGGCTCTCGTGAGCGGGGTGGGGCTGGGGTCGCAGGCCGCGGTCCGGAGGCCGTTACTGAGTGGGCAAGTGAGATACGGCAGCGCGGGTCGAACCGAGAGCGCGTGGGAGTCGGGGCGCGCGAGGCTGGGGCCCTGGTCGCGCCGGAGCCCGCTGAGCAGGGGCGCGGCAAAGTGCGTGCGGACCCCGGGGACAGTAACCGCCGTTGCCCAGCGCTCGCTCCTAGCCCTCCCGGCCCTTTCCCTCAAGGGCACGCTCACGGAGAGTCTCGAACCTAAGTCCTCCTTCTGCCCTCCTTGCCCCCCTGCCTCCTAAGTGAGGATCCGGATTTATTTGTAAATGCCTCGATGACACTGGGTCATTTCCTGGAGTGGTTCCTCCTAGTGAACCCTGGTGCCACGTTCTGTGGCGGGTGGTCACTTTCATCCTTGCTGTAAAAAGACTCAGTGACACCTCTCCTCCCGTAGAAGTGGCTGCAACCTTGGATCTCAGTTTTACGCACCCCGAAGCCAGTTTATCTTATAACTCCACTTCGCAAACCCTCTCCGAGACTCGTCTCGGGCAGGGCAGCCGTCCCCCTTCAGTTGTGTTCTGAAATAAACTACCTTACCTTCAGAATTGGATGGAAAACCGTGCATATGCACTGGTTTCCAAATTCGTACAGCGCAAAATCACAAAGCATTGGATTCACATGCTTCAATGTGTCTATCCAAATCAATGGCGATTTTCACCAGTGTAACACTTTAACGTCTTGGGCACAACAGACTCTCATTGGACAGTCATTTTTGGCTGCATTTCACAGCTGAAGACCCAGAATCAGGCGAAGTAACTTGTTCAAGGTCACAGGACTATTAACAAAGAACTTTTGAGCTAACTGACTAGATTTTCTGGCTCAAACACAGAATGATTTTTTTCCCCAATCCTCTCTCCTGCCTCTTAAAACAGTTTTGTAGTACATGATAGTCAAGATAAACTACCAGCTTAAATTAATTTTTCCATTATACATTTTGGCAGTTAAGTATATTTGGGTTAAAAAAAAAAAAATGCCCCAGCTCTTTTGACAGAAATTGGTTTGGTTAAAAAGGAAAGAAAGAAAGTAAAAAAGAAGTCGAGAATGTCACAAATGATCCCCAGTGAAACAATTCCCAGGAATGTCCTCTAACACATACTTAGGCCCCTCAGACTAGTTTATTTTTGGTAGCAGAGTGGCAGGCAACAAGCACATTTTTAGAAGAACAACCCTTGAATGTCCTAGGAACTTATCACATTGAAGAAATGTGATTGTAGATACGCTTTCATTTTCAGTCTTTACTTGTCAAAATGACATTGCACAAGTCTGTATATTGCCACAGTCATCATCATAAGCCTCGATCCTAAGTTTGTGGATTAAAAGGTGTCTGAATTTTTTTTTTTTAAATCCCCTAAATAATTCAATTTACGACTGGTAAATTTCTACCAGGTGAGATAAAGGACATTGTTATTTGAAGGATAGCATAAAAGCTGTGAGTTCTGTATAAACAATACAGAATGACTCAGATGGCAAAGTCCCAGGGATAAAGGAGGAAACAGGCACAATGCTACATGTGTCCTCTCGGTAGTTTCTGGAAAAATAATTCTGGTATAAATAAGGTGAGTAGCCACGTGAAAACATTATTTCCCAGCTTCTATGACCTTCAATTTGATCTCTCCCCGAAAAGGGGAAACTAGTTCATGATTTCCAGTTAACTAAGTGAGTCGTCAGTGTATCAAGGAAAAACACCTTAGGAACTCTGACTTCCTCTTCTGCCATAAAGATAGAGAACAATGGGGAACACGCACAGCATGAACCACACTCAGCTGCTGGCTCTCACGTGGAAGAAATAAGAAAAACAGACATTGGGTGAAGAACATCAGGGCACCCGCAGCCACTGACAGCCATACAATAGCTGATGTGCACGCACCAACCAAAAAAAATGATGGGAGAGGCCATTCTATCAACTCGAGGTAACAGTAAAAGGCACAGCCAACCTACTTCAACCTGTATAAACAGGGAGAAAGACAAAAATATTACAACAAATACTTGAAAAGTCTCCATTCTCATGTCTCCCTTTTCTCCCCTCGCCACACACACAATAAAATGTACCCTTTACTAAAAGAGGTTTCGTTAGGAAGGTACAAACCTCTTAAATGCCAGGACTTCCTTGAGTTGAATCCAAAAGTAGCTGAGAAGTGGGAGAGGCCCCAGGCAAATATGTCCCCAAAAGATCTTTAGTGATGCTAATGGATATTTGTGGAATATTCTCCTTGAACTTCCCTAGTGAACATGTCCTGGAGGTGTCCCCTGGAGTCACCTCAGGATTATTAGATAGAAAATGATCCAGGCTGCACTAGGTCAGAATGGTTTCAGAATGACCTTGAAGCTAGATTAGGTATGATGACCTTGATATGGCCTCCAAACAAAAGGGGAGTTAGCCTAGGGAGCGCTTTAGAATTGCTTTTCAATTCTATTAAGTTTAACTCTTTCAGATGCTCCATAATTGTTCAGTTGACACCTTTTTGGTGTACTTATTTGTCTTTGTGGCCACGGAGTACTATATAGAGAATTCTCAGTTGTCTCCAAATAACTGAGAGAAAAGAAATTAAGAACTCTAAGTATGTTACAGAGCAACAGGTTATGTTGTGTAGGTGGGAGGATGACTTTTAAAGAGGATGGCGAAGCACAGTCTGTGCTGTGAGCACTCAAGGCAGAGGGTAGCTCTGATGTACACCAGAACTGAAGCAATGTCAGCACCACACAAGGCCGTGTGCAGATAAGTCCACAATTGATTTCTCCTATTCTAACCTCTCCACTAAACTCCAGACTTATGTATCACATTATCTCCTTGACCGATCTACTTAGATACCTAAGTAGACTTCTGACTCAGTCCAGAAGCAAACAACACCCCCAAACTTGCTTGTTTCTCAAGCTTCGTTATGCCAGTAAACCAGCTGTTCATTCACCTAGCTGCTTATACCAAAATCCTTAAAGTTATCCTTGACTTTAATTTTCATATCATATATTCCACGTATCAAAAAATTCAGATGTACTTTCAAAATATACTTCAAATTTCGCGACTACTTTTTACCTTCCACTATCCCAGTTCCAACCACCATCGTAGTGCACCCGGACAACCAAAACAGCCTCCCATCACCATGCTTCTTACTCTTGTAACCATCCGCCGTAGCAACCAGGTTGATCCTGTTCACATGTAAGTCTGGTCATGTCATCCCCCAGCTTAGCACCCACCAATGGCTTCCCACTATACTTCCTGAAATATCAAAAATCTTAGCATGCCTTTCAAGTCTTCAATCTAGCTCCTGGCCACATCTGTGAAGACATCTCCATACCCTCCTCCCCAGCCTGTCTCCCACCCCTGTTATTCATTCCTAGCAGGCCGACCTAGCAAGCACACTCCCTCTTCACTCCTCTTCCCGTTATTATGGCTCACTCCCTCATTGCACTCAGCTCTCTGCTCAGAGACACCTCATCAAAAAGACTCCTTCCTATCTGAAATAGAATCCTCCACTCTGATTTTAACTCTCACTCTTGCTCAGTTTTACTCTTTTTCATTTTGCTTTACTATAAAGTTATATACTTACATACTGTATGTATTTTGTTGGTGTCTTTTCTCATCTAACATCTTCCACTGGAACACTGGCTCCATCAAAGATTGTTTTGTTCACTGCTTTGTCCTCAGTGCCTAGAACAGTGCCTAGTCAGAGTCGTGCTCAGCCGGTACTTATTAAACAAATATATGAATAATTCAGATAATCAAGCTGGTAATTATTAATCAGCCTCTGCTTAAGGCACTGGTTAACCCATAGTTCCCATGTGGGAATGCAATCTGTAAGATAATAAAGGATGCAGGCACAGCATTTTGCTGTGCTTCATGGGATGTAAAATATTTGTTTCATGACTTAACCAAATTAAAAGTATTCTGTTCTCAGTAATTTGTAGTCGCTGCCTAATTAGTCATTAGCTACCATATAAAAGTGAAGTCATAGTCTTAGTCGACATTAATCTCT